TGATGTTGAAAAATATCTTCTCCCTATTATTCCATGTTTGAGATATCCATGTGACAATTTCATTTCCTACTTAGAAAGTTTCTATCTTATTTGCTTCAGTATAATTTCTCATATGCAAAAAGCATTCTGCTGACTTATCATTTTAATATGAACTTATCAAGAGAATATTTTGCATACTTCAGTAGTTTTTCATCCCATGGCAATTCGAGAAAGTCTGAAAAGGAGAAAAGTGTAGTTGTTAATTAATGTATAAGCAATTGTAAACGATATAAGGCTGAAGAGATTTCAAACCGGCGAGTGAGTGAGTGTGTGAGTGAAACATTAGAAAATGTCGTCATGCCGTTATATGTTTATGAGAATGTGGGGAGATTTATTACCAAAAATATATTGTAGTCGGAATACGAAGATATTGAAGTGTAAACTATTCAGATTGAATTACTATAGCTGGAACTACTGCTATGGGAAAATTTCAACTCTAAACAAGGATTTATGGTTACAAACACAGTGTGGTGTGAGCTACTTATATTGACATAAGTAGTATATAACGTGCGTTAAAAGAACGTAATGCTCGGCAGCAAAAGATGGCGAAGACCAAGAAAGGTGGAGCAAGAACATAATGGAATTTGTAAGAAAACTTATGAACAATGGAATGGGAGACAATGGATTAGTGTTTGCAGCTTGAACAGTACAGTTTGATATGATGTATTGATAATTTGCAAATTGACGATTGACTTTATGGTATTCAGATTTTGTTGAGATAGTCTGTAATTTTCGAGCTAAATACATTCGATTGTCCCCACCCGTATTCTTGTTCACTACATTTGGTGTCGCTGCCAACCGGGAGAGGAGGAGGGTGCTGTTCTGCGGACGCCGTTGCGGGCCTGGAGTTGAGGTGCCAGTTGGAGCAGTCTGGTGCGGAGAGGCGGCGTCTGGTGGAGTGTTCTGGCGGGGCGGCGTTGGCTGTAGTGGATGCTGTCGGCGGAGAGGAGCGGTGGGACGCGCGGCTGCTGGGCGGACATCGAATGTAGATGGCTCAGCAGGCCGGTGGAGTACGGGTGTCAAGCGTCCCAGGTGCCGGGTGGATGTCGGTTGTTGCTTTCCCGGCAGGTCGACGGAGCTACGGAAGTCAGCGTCCCGCAGACTCGACATTTTGACGGAGAGCGTGGCACAGGCTGCAGAGACGGAGAATGTTGCACGGCGAGCACGAACCACCACAAGAACGACTGTTTTAAAGGGGGGGACGAGTGTGGTGTGAGCTACTTATATTGACATAAGTAGTATATAACGTGCGTTAAAAGAACGTAATGCTCGGCAGCAAAAGATGGCGAAGACCAAGAAAGGTGGAGCAAGAACATAATGGAATTTGTAAGAAAACTTATGAACAATGGAATGGGAGACAATGGATTAGTGTTTGCAGCTTGAACAGTACAGTTTGATATGATGTATTGATAATTTGCAAATTGACGATTGACTTTATGGTATTCAGATTTTGTTGAGATAGTCTGTAATTTTCGAGCTAAATACATTCGATTGTCCCCACCCGTATTCTTGTTCACTACAACAGGACTGACTAGAATTAAAGAAGTGATGAAAAGATGAGTCAAGTGTTTCTTAATTAATTTATGGAAAATAATCTACTATTAAAAGAACATTGGTAGGTGGTTCAAATCAAACCAAGTTTAAATTGAAGAACATGAGGGAGATTTTGCGTAGCAAATATTCGGAAATCTGTTGATAAATATGACAAGTAATGCAGTAACTCTTAACGCACTTTCGTTTATAGTGAAGACGTAAGCCATTAAGATTTCCAAATGACACAAATTGATAAATACAACTGAGACTATTGATTTATAATAAGTAGAGTATCGATGAAACAGAAATAAGTGCGTATAATTCACTGTACTGAAATCTGATGTACAAATCCTCATGGTTATGATTAATACTAAACGTGTTTGTTTGTTGAAAATTTGATGATCCCATCATTATACTCTTCCAAAATATCCAGTGTGCAGTTTGGCTGTATTCTTCTGTAATTAGGTTGATATTGAGCAGGTTTATCAGTTGGATTTACTTTAATAATTGAATGTGATCATTGTTGCTTTCTCTGATTTTATAGATAAATACAATGAATTCATTGACAGAGAGGGAGATTAGACGTGATTTCAATAAGTTGTTACATCTTAAATTGTGATACACAAGTTATATTTCTGGTGACCATAAACTATGGAATCTATTTTTTGAAAGGCCTTTCGTCATTATCTGCTGACGAAACGATAATTCTCAATTGAGATGTCGAATGTTATGACGAAGGATGTTTTGTGGAGATTGTTGTAATTTAATAGTTGAATTCATGAGTCGATTAAATCCAGACTTTTATGATAAACCGGAATGCACTGGATGGCCGTTTCTTTTTATTCTGGGCCTTCTCAGCATTACGCATCAATTATCCTCACATGGGACTTCAACACACGACATTCGGTTTCACTCGCGAACGTTTAAATTCCAAAGCAATGTGCAGGCGTCTAATTTTGTTATTGTCTAATTTCAACCAATCCGTGATATTTCGTGAACGTCCATCATTGTCTTCAGTGAGCAACTGCCTCTACAATAGCTACGGTTGTAATCTGTTGGTCACGGTTTCTCACTAGAATTCCATGAAATAAATCTTGAAGACAGTCACTAGTGATCACATGATTATTATTATTATTTTTATTATTATTATTGGATAAGGTGTTTTTTGGAGATTTTAGTTATTCAATAATTAAACTCATGGATAGTGTCACAAATTCGTTAATTGTTCGAAGTTATAGGTATACACCATTATATGCCGTTTATGTAATCTGTATTGTATGTGTCCGCGCGCGAGATCTTCCATTTCTTCCAGGTTTTCAATGGTTGCCTAACTTTAAGCGATACATGAATCCAACTATTAAAATAATAAAGTCTTCACAAAATCTTTTTTTGATCAGTAGAATTTTTCTTACATTTTTATTCTGTATTTCTTTCGCTTTTTTATTCTTTTTTTGCGACGTTTTTCGTTCAGTTATCCAATAATTTCTATGATGTCGTTCGAAAACTTAATACTTATTATCATCAACGGTTGCGTTTATTGATTATCCTTTTACATTTTGGTCAATGATATCAATTATGTCATTCTATTTTCATTGAAGTTATCTTCTTTGAGGCTGGTTGGATTTGATTATATTCTTTTTTCTATTTGCCTTATTGATTTAGCGTTCTTCTTGTTCTTCTTTAAATTTTCACGATGTAGACTTGTCTTTATGATTAGTTCAAAGTTGAGAAAAACAAATGTAAGTGAACAATATTGTTTTCGATTAGATCTTCATCGAGCTTTACTCTAATATACAGTAATATTTATATGCATATACGAAATTATTAAACCAATTTTCACGATGTAGACTTGGCTCTATGATTGATTCAAAGTTTTCAATGAGGAGTTTTTTCAATATATTATTTCAGTTCATTTCTAGAATATAACCAACTAATAATATTTATTTATTAGGTATTGTTCTCCTGTGAATAACTTTTATGAGGACAAATCAGTTGTCAGTTTCATTGTTGAACTATACTCTCTACGACTTCATTCTGGACCTTACTCAAGGGTGTCGGTAGCATGACAAAATAGTAAAAGCTGTTTTTCCAGTTAAAAAATATCTTAGCAAATCACCCATATTCGTTTTACTAGTGCGCAAATTCTCAAAGTATACACAGTCCATCAAAGCTGGTGTTAATAAGTAATATTAATTCATATATAAATGTTTAAAATTCTGTTCATTAGACTACATATTCCAAGTATACATTAAAAGATTATCTTAATCCCTACTGTGAAATAAGTCCTTGTAATAGTCTTTGTTGAGTCATAACTATTACTCATAAAACTTTTATGTTTCTATACAATTACTCAGTTCAATTCAAATCTTATTTCGAAACTATGAATATTGATCAAAATGATACACACATAAGCTTATACGATGATAGCAGCATATATAGTATTACAGGTTTAGTAACGTTACTTCTTGTAATATATATATGTAAACTATCATACTATGATATTATAACTATTCATAGACAGAGAGCCATATGTGATATAATCTAATGAATTAAGAATTAGTTCAAAATAATTGTCTATCAATGTTATATGAACTGTAAGTAGTTGGCTGGTAACAATCTATCCGAAAAAACAACAAGTAATCATGATGAAGAATTTATAAAAGATAAACTATAGAAAAATGAAAAGTATACAGATTGTTTTATTTACCAATAATTTGAACAAAAATTATTGGATCCTTTATTTTTCAAAAAGTTTCTAAAATTTCATTATTTAATGAGATACATTAATTCCTTAAATTGAGACTATACTTTATGAACGACCTTTGAGGGACGCTAGACTGACCTTGAGGGTGTCCCCATCTGATGACTATTAGCAAATGAAGGTTATAAAATCAATGTGAAGAATATAAAATTCTGATGTTACAAATTAGATTTAAGGTTTTCATCACGAACTGACTTCAACTATAATGCCAAAATTTTATTTAGCCAAATTGGTGAATGAATTTCGCATTAAAATTCGAAACCTCTTATCTTATACCTGATTGGTTCATCAATGATAACCCAACAAGTTGACCTATATGAAATTTCAACTTTAATCGATCATTTACAAACTAAATATTCTTTATGTCACAATATAATTTTTAATGTTTTTTATGTCTATTTTCCCAATATATAAAGAAATATGCACATAATCCTTCCTATGAAAGTGAATAAATCGAACATATTTCCAAATCATTAAATTTATCTAATTCTAATTTAACATCCAATCATCTTTGAAGGTCAATAGAATTTTTTTTATTATTTAACCAATCAAAATAATTGTGTATTTCCATTTTTCACTAAATTTATGTGCCAACATTAAAAATATTAACCAATCAAATTGTAATAAAATTTCATTTTTTTAAAATTAAGATAAATAACCATTGAATTGCTTGTATACCCTGTTTTTTACTTTTTATGATGAAGACGATGATGATGGTATTATCCTTCAATAGATATATAATTTTATTCATTCTTATACATTATACTTATACAAAACCACATTTAGAAACAGTGGTATGTTGTTCAATATTATTATTATTATTACATACAATAATAAAAATATAATAGAGTCGACGTGATACAGAACATTTTATTGATGATCCAGATCGTCATGATATTGAATTTGATCATAATGCATTTTTAGGTGAAGAGACTGCTAAAGAATTTCTACAATTAACACCAAATGAAAGTGAAGAAAAATTAAAGTAAGTTAATGAGTAAAACAAAAACAAACAAAAAAAAATAAACAACTTTGTAAATTTCTTGTTTTATTAGAATTATTATTAGAAAAATTGATAAAGATAATGATGAAAAAATTACGGAATATGAATTAAAATCTTGGATTGAATATGTAGCTAGTAAATCGAAACAAAATAGTACAGATCGTCAATGGAATGATATAAATCCAACTAATCAATCTTCAATTAAATGGACAGAATATCTAATAAAAACATATGGACCAGAAGAAGGTAAACTTTAAAATTTTGTAAATTAGTATTCATTTGAGTGTAATATTGAATGTGAATTGATAAGTGAAACAGTTTATCTCAGTCCTACAGGAGGTTGGTCTCAGCCCGGATAGCTCAGTGGTAACGTCTCTGACTGTGAAGCTGGGTAATACGGGATCGAATCCGTCAAGTAGCACCAGTTCCCTCAAGATTACAGGTACACCTTGCTGACGAGTGCCAAGTAGTACGAAACCCGGGTCCAGGGTTTACTGTCGACTACCTACAACCACCATCTAATCACAGTTTATGAAGTTATAATATGTATATAGGTTGGATTTGTCACAGAAGGATCTGAGTTTGGTTACTTTTGAAGATCAAAGAAACCTAGATAATTATTTCATCGTAGCATAAGACTTTTCATCGGTGGGCAACGACGGCCTCGTCAAAAGTCAGTGTCTAATAGTACTATTTAAATTTATGTATATAAATGGGTATGTATAAAAAAATTAGGTTCTGAATTCACCATTTTTATTTGATGTAAACTGTTGCCAGTTCTAAAAAGGAAACCTTGTTATGTCTGTGTTTGAAAATAGTCAAGCTTATCACTTTAGGCAATTGTTGTCAGCCATACTTACTACTCAACTACTCGTGAATTGATTGAAGTTATACATTAACACCGTTGGATGTCGGCTCAATGATCTGATGGTTAAGCGCTTGCGCACTAGGCTGATATGCCCTGGGTTCGAATCTTGCGGAGGGAGTCATATACTATGGCGAAACGGCTGTCCAGTGCTTCCTCGTTTACCACAGTGGTCTAGCTTTAATTGAATCATGATTTTAACTATTGAAATCTCATTCAATTGATATTGCACTACAATATGAAAAACCTAGAAGCACTGAACGGCCGTTTCGTCCTAGTACGGGACTCCTCAGCAGTGCGTATCCAGGATCTAATTCATATATTTTGAAATTGACTTCGAGACTTTAATTGAATGTTGTATCATTTGGATCAGTATTAAGCAGCATTTTATAAAACTTAGCTAACATGTCTGATAAGAATTAGTTAATTAATGTGCGGGATCATTGGAAGATATTTTAACGGGATATTAATTCTAAGAGGACAATCATAAACCTTATAGACTGAAATCAGGAGAAGGTTATAAGGTTTACTATGTGATCTAAAGTTCTCCAAAATTTTGCCTTAATCATTTATGACGATTCGATCTCATCGTGATAAGAATAGATTAAATTCAATGAATGACTTTACAAAAACTAAATCAGTGAAAATAAAGACTATTTAAATTTTGATGGAGTTTTGTTCTCTGAGTTGGATGATTTGGTCATCAGCACAAAAATCAGACTTCCATCTGAAGTCTGGGCTGATGATGTTGTTCAGAAGAACGATGAAAGCTCCACAACCAAACCATCCAACTCAGAGAATAAAACTCTATCAAAATCATCCACTTGAGCTACTATATTTTAATACTTGACTTCCTTTAAAAATCTAATAAGATAGATGAAAGAGAACAGAGTTAAGGAACAGTCTTTTTGAAATATATCATATATTTTTAAAGATTATTCTATGAAAGGATAGATAGTCAATTGTTACTTTTACATATGAATAGGTTGTCTGTTTAGGTAGGCAGTAAAGAAACAATAAATTCATATACTGTATTTAAATCGATAGACTGACAAACTAATCGTTTTAAACACTAATAAAATACATTAGGATAAGCCAATAAAATGTACACTATTTGTTTTTTGCCTATGAAATAGCATTATTATCAATAAATGAATTAGTCTACATGTATATAGATACAAATGAAACAATAATACATTCCAATGATTTTCATCCCTTGGAATAATTCCAAAGTCAAATATGACTAAACTGGCATAAAAGATAAAGGTGAATATGATTCATGTCTCGTATTTAATCAAATCAGTATATGGTTAAACTGTTGTTGAATGATTAGTTTTAAATTCAAAATGACATGGAAATCATTATTACATTTATTCAGTGGAACACTTGATCAAATAATATGATACAATCTCTGTATAAAATGTCTTACATTTCTCAGCGTTCATGTCAGTTTGTAACATGATTTAAGTATATCATTTGATCATTGATGATAAAACACAACTAAATATTCAGATCATGAATGTTGAAAGGCTAGAAGCACTAGATGGCCGTTTCGTTCCAGTATGGAACTTCTCAGTAGTGCTCATCCATGATTCTGCACGTGAGACTCAAACCCAGTACATTCGGTTTCACGCGTGAACGTCTAACCTTTGAATCACTGAGCCAGCATCCCGAGTGCAGGGTTGTGGGTTTATACTGTTGAGGAGTCCCATACTAGGATGGAACAGTTGTCTAGTGCTTCCAGATTTTCAATGGTGGTCTATCATTCATCGACTTATGATCTCAATCAAAGATTCAACAACCTCAATAGCATACTGATAACTAAATATGCTTTGAATATTATGGTTTGTTTTGACTGTTATGTATACGTCTACGTACTCTTTAATTTCAGATTTTATGGTATCATGTTATACCAGTTATTAGTTAACCACAGGATATAATTTGTATAACTTCATTAACTTAACTTGTGTAGAATTTTGACTGGATCATTGTAAGTATTGACTGAGCTCTTATCTTTATAACTGGAAAATATGGTTTTAGATAATTATTTTAAATGAGGCTTACATTCTGCCTGTAGAGACGTGTGCTCCTGAGTGAACATCAAATCTGAGATGCAGGTACACCCATCTGACGAGTCCCGAATACACCGGAACGCGCGTCATGGATTCCACTGCCAACCACTAACCATCTTTGTTATATTTTAAACTGTTTTTAAAACTATATAAGACAGTGAATACTTTAAACCAACATTATGTAAATAATTAAATATTTATTATTTATCCCTACAGAACGATTAAAAGATACAGCTACATCTGAATCATATAAAAAAGCTGTACAGCATGATCGACGACGATGGGTTGCTGCTGATTTAGATAAAGATGACAGTTTAAATAAAACGGAATTTACTGATTTCGTACATCCGGAAGACAGGCCAAATATGAGAGATGCTGTTATCGATGTAAGTGTTATAGTTTTTAACTAATAAATAAATTCTTTGTGTTAATATTTAAAGAACAGTAGATTATCATGAAACTTTAGCAATGATCACGCTTACATCTAAATAGTAATTATATGGGTTAAAGAACTTCACTACAAATGCTGAATCCCACTGATCTATTGATGTATGTCGGCGACATTCTTTGTTTACTAATAATAGTGGTTGTAGTTTCAAGTATTTCATATACTGATATACAGCATGTCTGAATAATTTCGATCAATAGTTTACTTTTAATCAATTTAGCCTATTTTTGAGGGGACGTCACACCTTGTTTGTTCCATTGATGCTCATTTTCATCAACCTGTTAGTGTATAGCAAAGTGCATATGTATTGCAACTTTTAGAATGTCCTATCACATAGACGTTTATTAGTTAGTGTGAACTTCTCCCAAATGACCACTCCATAGTGTTGTTTATTCGGAGGAAAAAAAAGAGTAGCGTACGAAAAACGGATTTTGAAATTCTAGTTAATGTGTTTCTTGGCTAACAGTAGGGTCCAGAACCCTTGACTCACCTAATTTATGATTCTTCCGTTTTATCTCCTTGTACCTTATTATTGAACTTGAAACCTGAACTCAACATTCTTAGTTTCAAATGGCCACTGATGGGTTAAATTCAGTTAGTCACCAACTTAATCAAACCCTTATGCATATTTGTCTTTTTTGAAAACTGAACTAACTTAAAGTGAAAGGATTTTGCCATATAAAATGAGTTTCAACCCTATATCGTTTATCCTCAGTTTTAGAAGAATTGTAAATTCTTTCATACTTGAGTATATTTCTCAAACTATATAAACACTGGAAGGGTGGAATCTATGGGAATTCCTTGATGATGAAACTGTGATATGAGAACGGTTTTGTATAATACCGAGAATGAATATAAAATTGTAGACATATTTCGACCTACTGATAGCATATATTTGTTTATTTATTTATTTGGACACATAAATATTGGTACAAGAGTTCGCCAAATATATATGCGCCACACAAAACAATGAGAATTTAAGAGGGAGGAAATAGAAAAAAGAATAATGATGAAGAGATTGATGTAAGGTGGTGTAATAATAATGGTAAAAATGGGGGAACGGAAAGGTACAATCAGAAGAAACCTTTTAGTTAAGTAAGATACAACCACTTTTCATGAAGAAATTAAAAAAAGGTTACATCAGGATCGCTACTAGCTTCTATTCTGAGCCATATCTGATAACGTCTCTAGCCACTGTGTTGCACGATCTCTCGGACCCTAACCAGGGAGTCGTGAATGACCAACACAAGCCAGTCCTTTGCAGCTTTCTTTCATCCCATGACACTATGACATACACTGACCACCTCTCCGCTTCTTCCGACCAGTCCCAGAGTCGGCAAATAATGCACGACGTGGAATTCTCTGAGACGACATGCGTAGAAAATGTCCAAGCCACCAAAGTCGGTGTTTCAGGATGGTGACACCAGTTACATTATCGTCTCTGTGCCCGAACACACGATGCCGAACCTCTGCATTACTAACATGGTGTTGTCACTAGATGTCAGCAATCCTTCGGAGACAACGATGATCGAACACAGAGATTCGTCTAACGTCCTCAACTCAGAGAGACCAGGTTTCACAAGCATAGAGCGAAACTGCTCTTACCGAAGCGTTGTAGATCCGACCTTTTACAGCCAGACTAACATCACAAAGGTGCCAAAGATGGCCAAAACTGGCATAAGTTGCTCTGGCTTTCACCATACATGCAACGATCTCATCACTCACACCATCATCAGCATTTATGCAGCTACCCAGATACACGAACTTCTCGACCACTTCTATCTGCTCACCATCCAAGGTGAGTACAGGATTAGAATCCTGCGAGTCTTGTAGAAGTACTTTGCACTTTGAAGGTGCAAAGCTGGACCAAACCATCCAACTAAGAGAACAAAACTCCATCAAACACTATAAGATAACATTTAATGAATATTACTGAATTTGGATGGTTTGTTTTCTAACAGTCCTAGAAAGTTTAGTCATTAAATGAGAACACTTTATACAAAGCTATTCGTAAACTGAATATCAAGATACGTTAAATATTGAATTTCTCTAACATAATAATCCAAGACCACTACTTTGATTTTGATTGGTTTAAGGATATAAATTTCATATTTGTTTTTCTATTTACCTTTTGATAGGAATTATTGGAATATGTGGATAAGGATAATGATGGATATGTATCTGAAAAAGAATATTTAGGTAAAAATGAAAATTTAATATATTTGATTAATATTTCAGCTTTCTGAACACCACCCTTATCTATCACATTATTATTTTAGGGGGAATAAAACGACAAAAAGCTGGTAACAAACTGAAAACTTGTCTCCAGCATCGCTCACACATAGCTTCTAACACTTAAACATTATTCATTATATTCTTATTGTTTTCTCCACATTTTATTTGAATTAAGAGAGAAATATTCCATGGTGTTTCATAAAAACTTGGAATCACATTCAACATCGATTTCGAATACAGTTACGAATGAATAATTTAGTTTGTACTACGAACTATAAGTTCTAGTGGTCTCAGAAAATATCTATTCAGTATACTAAGAACTATCAGCATTGAATGAATTCCTAAGGTACTACAGATCATATTCTCAGGATATTACTGAAGAAAGTGAATCGGCTAATAATTTTATCTAATGTGAATAAATATCAGTTATTGCTGTTTCTACTCAGTTTTGGGTTTCAGTCTTGTACTCTTTTTCATTTAAAAACATTAAGTAACTTTTGGATTCAGAACAGTTATGTAAAAAGTTATTCTTGCTATGTTTTGCATTCTTACAATGCAGTATTAATCTCAAAATGAAGAGAATCATTATACTACTAATATAACTCTATGTAAAAACAAATGTTGAGATTAGATTTCTATTTTTATTCTGGCATTTATTTCATGTTTTCAAAAGTTGATTTAGCTCGTGCTTATCAAAGTACACCATTTGACGAAAATGAACCTGAAGCAGAATGGGTTGAACGTGAAAGAAGTCAATTTCGTCGATTCAGAGATACAAATCAAGATGGTAGAATGGATAGAGCAGAAGTTGGTGAATGGATAATGCCATCAAATTATGATCCAATAGATGCAGAAACAAAACATTTATTTTATCATGCTGATACTAATAAGGTAAGTAAATCAAGTTATTTTTAAAGTCACTATTTACTCTACATGTGTAAGTGTAGTTTGAAAATCAGAACGATCGGATGATTAATTGCAGTTATGATTCTGTTCTATGTTAATTTGAATAGTCATTTAACTTAAACACAGTGGTAGATAGAAAAAATAAGACATTTTATTTGGGCTCGTAGATGGTTAGACCGTGCTCTATAATAATAGCAAAACTATTTAGCTTTTAAAATATTACTTCAACTTTTAACTTCTAACCCCCAAATGCCCTGGTATGGCCGAGAGTGGGGAGAGTTCGCTCTCCGTCTCGAAATGCTGTCACACGGCCATGAGTATACAGCCTCTGCCAGGGAAGTCCCCCTCACTTCATTCTCGTGGCAGGGGTGTTGTTTACGAAAATGAGAGAACGAAAAGCGAGTGTCCGGGGCTTTAACCGGATAACAAACCAAGGTGCACATGGGCTCCAGTATCCTGCGGGAACAAATGGCGTATGAACCAATCTTTGATCACTGGCTAAAACGGGACTGCATCTCATTATGTTGCTCCACTGCCTTGTGGGTTAGACCTTAAGGACAAAGGCTCGGGGTGTGGCCCCCTAAGAAAACCACCTGCTTCGGTCTGGGCACCCGGGTAGTATCACAGCCTACAAAAAACAGAATGAAATGACAATACTATACTTGCTTTATCATACTATCTAGTTCATCTTATAATTCGATATTCAGTAGCTGACAAAAACAAAATGGTCCATCCTGAATCTAGTCAATAGTGAGCATATGATTATTATCAGTGTAGGGAATCGTAAAGATTGTAGTATTTAAATTAACTTTTAAACTAGTGATTTCAATGTAATGTCAATGAACAAAAATGAGAAATGCCTCGGTTTAACTTTCAATCGGCGTTTGCAGCTGATGAGGAACCTTGAAATATAATGAATTCATTTTACGCTTCAAATATTTTTCCTCTCACTCTATTGGTTAGTATTGATTCAACTTCAATTGAGCAACCAAATATTTTTCTCAATCAGATTATGTAAAGCATAACAATAAGCTAATGAAAATAACAAGGATATGACAGAACTATGATTAATATGACCTTGATCCTCTTTACTTTTTTTCATCTATCAGGATGGATTATTAACAGAAGCAGAAATTATCGCTAAACGAGATACTTTTGTCAGTAGCCAGGCCACAAATTACGGAAATGCGCTAAAACAACATGAAGAGCTTTAATAATAATGAAAAAATATGTTAAAACGAAACATTAAATTTGATGAAAGTGCTTTATTTCATTTGTAACTGGTTGGGGTTTTTTTTTATTCGCTTGATCCTGTTGGTAGTATGAATAAAACAATAATCTTGTTCATCATTCACTTATTACTTCTTATCGTTTATTTGCATTGAGTTGACTAAGTTCATCTTAAGCATGTGTTAAGATTATAATTAAAGACCTAGATAGAATATCATGAAACGTAATTTGAAAAAGGTTTGTGTGATAGACGCAATGAGGAAATGTAAATTTTGAGCTATGTGATTTAGATTCATTTACGTAGGAACAAGTGTGTTAGCTCGTCAACTTTCTCTCAATTGTGAATTACACCATTCCTTCACATATAGCTTTCCATTCTGTATTCTCAAGCCCTATTCCCAAATCTTCATTGTTTTTCGTCATTATTTTTATTAAATTCATTAGATCTCTTTTTCACTTCAAGTTGTCATCATATCATCTTGATATAGTGGGATAGAAACTTGTACCAAATCACATATATCCCAGGCTCCCCGTTGATTGTGCTTCATCGTCTGCTTTCACTGAATGGAATAACTATGAACAAGGAATGAGTTGTAGACAAATACTCGTCATTAGCTGTAATACAATATTATATATTAAATCCCTAGGCTATGATATTTAGAAGTATTTTGATTAATGTACTAATTAAGAATTTCTGAAATAGTGCAATTTGAGGCAGATAGAACTAGATGACCACAAATGAATGTATTATATTTGTAATTTGTAGTCAGCCGGCAATCAAGGATTATGGAGTTGTTAGTTTGTACACATGCCACAAATTATATATAATGTATATAGTTTGAAATAAACAAGTACAAATTAAGCTATTGATCTACTTGTTTTTTGAAAACTTTATATGCCATTTATTACTTTCAGAAGTAATTGAGCTTGGTCACAATGAAGTACGTTTGCTAATGAGCCATAGTACCTCGTTCATTCTCCGATGATTAGTTGGTCCTCTTTCTATCTGTCCTTCTTATAATCATCCCATGTAAAAAAAATCCAGTCAATACAGAGATAATAAACACGCTGATTCGGACCTCCTACACTCCCTGATAAGATTCTCAGACTGTGATACCTTCTTCATAAGTAATAGTCTGATGGAAAACAATGGCACGTTCTATCAGATTATCAACCCTTGTCAAGATTCCCGTGCACTTGCTAAAACGCACTGGTTTTAGTAAACCTAAGTACTTATTTACACCAGTTAAATATTATAATAAATCAAGACATCTGTAGAAACGTTACTACAAGTAAAATGGTTTTACGGCAGTTGGACAAATAACTTTGATTTTAAAGCAAACTAAAGAAAAAAATAGATTAAAACCTATTATTGAGTTGTTAGCATTTGGTAATTGCATAATAGTACAAAACTTAATTCTCCTTAACAATAAAATCGTTAGAGCAACTTGAAATGAGAATTTACTGTACATCATGCATAGTGGCACTTTTATAAACGACTTCAAGACGATCTACCAATCTCGACGTGTTAATGTAGTTATTTTAATCGAGGTTAACTGAACGATTCTGTTAATTATGAGCTCTTGGAATTAACCATTTTGAAGGTGAATATTATTAGCAGTTTCATAATTATTCAATGGGATATTGTTAAGAAACTTTGTAGTGAATGTAGAATGTTAAAACAATATAAAAAAATATTTCATGTAAGTAGTTATAACATTAAGTGTATCTAACAGCTGCCTGTATCTCTACTACGGCCACTACTGGTCTCAAGCCCGGATAAAGGAAGGTTGGGCGTAAGACCAGTATCTCCATCCCGTAGAAAACAACCTTACTAAAGAAAACGCTAACCAGAATGTAGTTTACAGGAGTGATGAATAAAAACTGAATGTGATATCTAAAATGTGTTAAATATATTTATTTATGCTAAAGAAGAGGTGAGTGTGTTAATTAGATTTCAATGTCATTGTCTTTTAAGGAATGAATAAATTCTATATTCATACATATAGTTCCCTTTATCATTTTCAAAAGAGTAAGAACAAAGATGCTAGCAGAGTAAGTTTACGTGAACACAAAGATTTTACAAGTTGACATGGAAAACGGCCTGACATGAGACATTCTCCATAAAACTTGACTTCTGTCACTTCTCATAATATTCTGCAGCGTACCGTTACGAAGTGATTCAGTGACCTGAATAATTGTGCAGGCACACTTTCTACAATCGTTTTTGTGTTTTATGACTCTTAAACATATGGGATGAAATTAATAATGCCCTAATTTTTATCCAATAAGATTTCTATGATTTAGGGCCACGTATTTATTGAATAGTAGATAAACGTTTCAGTCACTTATACTTGGATAATAAACAAAAAAAAGACTGATTCCATTTATTCTCAGTCTGTATTGAAGTGAATATCAAATTAAATTACATAAGCAAATATAAATGATATAGTTTCAGTAGTGTTTAGATCATGTTTATTTGTAAAGTATGTTCGAAAGGTAATAGATTAAGTATAATTACATGAAGTTTAGATCATAGTTAGTCTTATGAATCTTTACAGAGGTTTGATAACTTCAACAAATGTTGCCGGAAACATTCCACGATTGCCAGTAGTGGCCGATTCACCACGATACCAGTTTTCATCGATGGCTTCAAATAAATACACTATGTCACCAGGCTAAAAAAATAATTAAAAAGCTTAGTGAAGTGATATTAATTGAAAGGAACTTAACATAACTTCAGTTTGTCAATACTAAGATGATTAGTTATGGAATATTTCATCAGTTTACTTCTCATTTCGTTTCTATTCAACATGTCATGATAAATCAGCCTAAAGTGGTAATTCTGTTGATACTGATAAATAATCACATGCGGGGACACAAACGCTTTGCATTCTGTAGAGCAATCCATAGTTCATCCACAAAATAACATTGAGTAAATTTAGGGTATTCGACTGTCCAAAAGAATCAATGGCTCAAATTTAAAACACAAGTTAGTTTATTGGACCGAGCAACAATCCTACTGGTGACATCTGTCTCGCTGTAGATGAGAGTGAAGTTCATCAATGATGGATTCAAACTGGAAATTAGGTTCTAGTGAACATATAGTTGTAAATCAATTCACAGCTGATAAAAAACATACTGACTACTATAAAATAATAAATCACGACAATCATGGTCCAGACGTTCCTCGTTACTTTAGCCCTAAAAGTTACCATTGATTCTCTGTTTGGTTGTTAATGTGAAACTGGAGACCTTCTAAACTGTCCTAAAGTAGGATAGTGTCATTTGTTATGATCAGACATAGTGATCTCATTTCGTTCTCAATCTAATACTTAGCAGTTATTACATACTTCATACTCAAAAATGTACATGGTTTATTTTGAAATCTAGCCCAAATTCCTAATAAACACGGTACTTATTCGAATTAACTCAGGTATAAGTCCTTACATTTACAAGTGAAATTCACCTATATGCCAATTACAAGTGGTTCGAACGAAATGCATTCAACATACTACTTTTTTATTTGTCATCATACAACAGTTGTTCTTGTATCAAACTAAATAAATCACTACCGGTCTTTGACACGATAATTACTCGGTAGGTTCTACAAAAGAACGAAGCTGCTCTTTTTTATGTAGTGAATATGAATGTAATCACATATTAACTAGGTGATTTATATCAGTGTTTTGTGGGATAATTACTTCTATAGTGCTATTTAACTAAATCAGTAATGCCCTGAAAAATTCCTAATGATGTTATCTACGATCCTTTTAGAAGTCTTTACAAATGGGAGCTTTGAAATCGTTCACCGTCCTCAAAGGTACATTGTCTATCAACGTTTCGGTACTATGTCTGCCTATTTTCGATGAGCAATTATTCATTGGCCAATCAATTAGTCACATATTCAAACTCATTCAATTTGCTTCAACTTAAAGTAATGCTCAACCCATGAGCAGTCAATAGCTACTATTTAAACATAAATTTATCTGTAGGGCCGGATAGGTATCACTATTCTATCAAATAAACAGTATACAACGTTATAAGCCAGTAACTGAATAAGTGAAATGAAAATTCTGATTACCGATAAAGCTAAATCTTCATCAGTTTCCTTATCAAATGTATATAAAGCTTTGACACGTGGTCTAGCTTCCAAATAATAGGCCAATTCATTTGAGTTATCAATAACTCGAACACTGGAAATATTTACTAAACCGATAACACCAAACCAGTTTTCACATTTTATCCACTCTCTACTTGATGATGAAGATATTGAATACTGGAGATGAGAATCATTACGTCTGTCACAAACTTGAGGACGTGAATCAATACACTTAAGGATATCACCAACCTGCAAAGAAGAACATGAAGATAATAGATAATTGTGTATCATTTCATACGACTGAAACTTTTTGTGTAATTAAAACTGATTCATAGTAATAATACAAGGATAAGATAGACATAAAACGAGATTGGTAATGAAACTTTAAAATATATGACTTAGAATCAGAAGGGGTTTGTGGAGATCTTAGAAATTTCACAGATTGAAATCATGAGTCAGTTGAAGCTAAACCACCATGGAAAGCCTGGAAGCACTGGACGGCCGTTTCGTCCCAGTATGGGACTCCTCAGTAGTGCGCATCCACGATCCCGCACTCCGCGAGATTCAAACACAGGACCTATCAGTCTCGCGCCAGGCACTTAACCAACTGGGCCACTTAGCCTGCATCCAATGGTATTAATGTCTAACTTCAACCAATCCACGAAGTTGCGCCACCGTATACCATTGTCTTCAGTGAGTTGATATCTCACAACAGACCTCGTTGAACTCCACTGTTAACGTCTTCTCACTTGAAATCCGGGAGTACCTCTTGAAGTAAGTCACTAGTGAGCAGCTGAGGAGTCCCATGCTAGGACGAAACGGCCATCCAGTGCTTCCAGGTTTTTCACAGTGATTTAGCTTCAATTGACCCATGATTTCAATCTGTGAAATTTCTAAAATCTCCACAAACCCCTTCTTATAATAATCATCTGCTCACTAGTGACTGACTTCAAGATATAACTTAGAAATCAAGTAATCTTGTTTTGACCCATATCAAACGATAAGCTTGAGTATGTACCTTT